TATATAGATAGTTCTCTAAATTAGGGTCCCTTTTTAGGTCCCCAAAATAGTACGGCACCCTTATAAAAAGGACCCCAACAGGGACCCTAATTTAGAAAACTACCCATATAGATAGGCTTCAGAGCTTGGTGTTTAAGGTGGGGGTTTGTGTCGGGCGGGGCGACATGGGAGCCCTGCAAGTTGTTCTGAAGCAATGTAAATGTCTTGCGCTCCTTAACTCCCCCCCCGAAACCCGAAATTCCTAAACCCCTAAACCCTGAAGCACTAAACCCTACACTCCACACGCCGAAGACTCAGAATCCTAACCTCTAAGGTCTACTCCCCCAACCCTTGGGGTTTAGGGTTTAGGGGTTTAAGTTACAAATCTGACACCGAGGCATGGGTTAAACGTTCGGGGTTCCCTAAACCTTAAATTTCTGATAATCCGTTAACAGCCCGAAACCCGAAACCCCAAACAATATCTTGTTTTTCTCTTCCACGTTTCAGCTTCGAGTTCGCTTTCGGAAATCGAGGCATGTTCTCACTCAAGGTTTGGACTTTTAGGGTTCTTGGTTTAGACTTTAGGGCTCTGGGTCTGGATTCGGCTCGATTTAGGGCTTTGGGGTTTACCGCTCGCATGGCGATAAAGTGCGATAAATGCAATTTGCAAGTACCCTGGCCCAGGAATGCCACTACGTTTATGTATTCTCAACCGAAGCTGAGAGTCAAAGAACCATCATGCAAATGAAAGTGCAAGACCCACAACATCGGGTTTAGCAAGAATGACCTGCTAAACCCTAAACCCCTAAACCCGTAAACCCCTAAACCAAAGTGGTCAGTGGCAGAGTAGGTAACTTTTAACCATTTTGGAGTACTATACTCCCCATCTATATGGGTAGTGCTCGAAGTTAGGGCCTCTTTTAGGTCCTCAATAAAGTACGGCACCCTTATAAAAAGGAGCCCAAGAGGGACCCTATTTGGGAGAATTCCCCCCATCTAATCCCAAAGGCTATCCTTCAGTTCCCCATGATACTGGACAAGTAGATCCGAAGAGGCTCCAAAAACGGGTTTAGGGTTTAGGGCCATTCTAATTATTAGGCTCCGCGCAGGCCCCTAAATTAGGGGTTTATGGTTTAGGGTTTGACAATAATTTCAACCCCAAGCTTCAACGCTAATTACATCCCAAACCGAGGTGCACGATTACCAGGCGTTCAGGGCTGGTCGAATCAAGGCTCCGCGCAGTTTGTGTGGTGGGCGAAAGCTTCTGTACAAGGGCTGAGGGCTTGACCGCAAGGGCCCAAGGACCCGGCAATTCGGTTCTTTGGTTCAGGGTAGTAGCATTAGGACGTAGTGCAGGGCTTACAATTAAGGCTTAAAAACAAGGTGGGCTTAGGACTTCAGTGGGTTTATTGTTGAGGGTTAAGGTGTCAGATTTAGTGTTGAGGTTTGAGGTGTCAGATTCAGAGATTTGCTTCGTGTTTTTCCAAAGCCCAGTCCATTTGAGCAGTCTCTGCACACCAAATCTAAACTAAACCATTGTCTCCTGACTCCTTTCACCTCCAAACAGCTGCCTTGATATGGGTAGTTGTCAAAATTATGGTCCCTTTTGGGGTATCCTAAATAATAGGTGCCGTATTATAATAAGGACCCAAAAGGGGACCATAATTTTAACATCCACCCATTTGAAAGCCCTGGGGCTCATGTTCCAGGTGTGACCGAGGTAAGGTACCGATTCAGAAAAGGATCAGGACTGGGTTTAGGGTTTAGGGTTTAGGGTTTAGGGGCAGCTATGACTTTATTACCAGTACCCTGACTTCCCAGGAACTACGTCGGGTTGACGAACAGAATTTCAACAAGTTGGATCCAGTTTCGGCCCCTTCATCATGCCTTTACTCCGAAGCTGCTTGCCTTACCTGTTGCGGGCGCTGCACGGAACTCTCTAAAATCTATGGTCCTGCATCATAGAACGAGCGGGCGCTTGTAGTAGACCCCAACCGCCCCTTAACCCTGTACCCTCAAACCGGACTCAAACCCCTAAACCCCATAATATAGGGGCCTACATAATTACCAATAGTATTTTCGGGGCTCCTTATTACAACTATAGCCCCAAACCCTATTCTAATTAAGCAGGCCCCTACATTACCTAGAGCCGCCCGGTTTGACCGTTTCTTTCAGATTGTCTTTCGAGAGAGGTCCACCAGGCACCAATGCAGCTTCGGCTCTGCCGCAGCTGTGTTGTGGTCCTCACGACATCGGTGAGGCCAGCAGTTTCGGGTTTAGGGTTTAGGGTTTAGGGTTTGGGAAAAACGAACCGATTACGGATAACCCAACCTAACTTAGGGGTGTAGGTTAGCAATGGCTATGTCTACTTATAATGATGAACCCAGTTAGGCTTTTCACAACCCTCTTACAGTCCCGCCCTGATCCTTCACGTAATGAGTAGCCTGGGGACATGAATTAGTACTTGTAACAGCTCAGTACGTACCGGTTAGGCTTGAGAGGTTGTTTTCAGGATTCCATCGGGGCTCTTGAAATTTACTGTTTAGGGTTTAGAGTGAAGGGCTTCCGAGAAGCTGGGTAGATAACCTTTAACTTGTTGGGTTTACAGAACCCTACCGTAACTAACGAGGTTATCTGTTTGGTCCGAGAAACTCAGCTACTAGGAAATACTGGATCCGTTTGCAACATTGTTTCTGCACGGCAGACTCAACCTGCAGTACTTGGAAGTTCTGAAAGGAAACACCCCAGCAGCAAGTCTACTTGGCAGGTTACATGGCCATCTAGTCGAGTTGCCTGCCACAACCTACAGTTTCACTGAGTTAGATCCCAGCCCTGGATACTTAAAAATGCTGAATCCTAAACCACTTCAGTTCCTTCAAGCCCAAAGCCCTTTCAAGTACCCTAATCTCCAGACACCTTAAACTACCCAGAACCTCCCAAACCCTAAAACCCTAAACCCTAAACCCTAAACCCTAAACCCTAAACCCAAAGGCTTTGTGGTTGCATGGTTTAGGGCGGCTGTCGGAGTTCAGGGCCCTAGGCTTGGGACAGTTTACTGGAAAAAGAGGTTGGTTTAGGGTTTAGGGTTTAGTGTTTAGGGTTTAGGGTTCAGAGAGAACCCCCAACGGATCCAAAGCAGCAGAATCTTCTAAGAAAGTGTGCTCGTAACCCAAGATGTGCGTCTCAGGGTTCCTGTAGTATTGGGTTCCTTGAAAAGGGTTCCAATTCAAGTGTTGCTATAAGGTAGCGGGCACGCAAGGCGACGCGTTGAGTCATGCCTTTTTGCTGTTTTTCAGCGAGATGTCCAAGAAATTTGCGGTTTTTTCAACTAAAGAGGGACCCTAATTTAGAGAACTCCCCACATGGCTGGAGCAAGAAGCGCTCACAGGCCTGGCCCTGCGCAGGGAATCCACGCAGTGGTCTGGGAGCAGGGATTAGGGGGACCCTTGGCGATATAGACCCTCTCAATAAGGTCCCTTTTAAGAGAGCCAAAATTAGGGTTCAGAAGGGGTACCCTCTAAGGGGTACCCCTAATAATACTAGCTATGGTCGGCACTGATACGCAAGCTCAGTTGTTCCACGGTCTCTTTGCGCTGTTCCACCGGAACCACGGACTTCGCCTGAAATTCCGGAACCGCACGTGCGAAAATTCATGACCATGCCGGTGAAACTGATGATATTCTTGTTGATGATGATGAAGAAGAAGAGCCAGAGCATGATTGTGTTGTTTATATGACGGCGATGACTAGTACCGTGATGATGCTGATGGTGGTGATGATGATTACTGTCATTGTGATGATTGTGATGCTTATGAATTTTCTGGCTTTGACGATGATGATGATGATGGTGATGATGATGATGGTGGTGGTGATGATGATGATGAATGTGATTGATGATTATGATAGGACGCTGAACATGCTGATTATAAGGATGAATACGAGTGTTACGTATGCTTCCTGTGACGATTATGTCATTATGTCATGACGATGAAGAAGGTGATCATGATGATGACGGTGACGAAGATGAAGATGGATAATAATAAGAATAAGAAGAACATGATGATGATTATGATGATGATGATGATGATCATGATGATCATGATGATGATCATGATGATGATGATGGTGATGATGATGGTAAACATGCATTAATTTCCATGAATCGCTACAAACCTGTCTTTGGTTGAAACGGTGCAAACACCGAGGTTTCGTGCACCTTTTAAGAGCGGATGTAGCGCGGCGCCCTGTGCACCCGCATCCTGCTAAAAGGGTCTGACACGGCGCCCTTTTTCGTCAGAATGGCGGGTAAAGTTAAAATTATATCATTGTATAGCTAAAATAAGGAACCCCGAGGTACGCGATTGTAGGCATTGATGCCCTATACTATCTGGAGATCCTAAGGTGCCGTAATGTTAGTAGAGTTTACCACACGGAAGCAAGCCCATCAGAGGTCTTTTTCTGGTGCAGGTGCGGGGGTGGGGGGGGTGCTTGGAGTTCAATATACTGATAATGCCCTTAATTGTTGTAGCGAGGGATGTATTCCCTAAGTACGCTTTCGTGTCCCTCAGCCTCGAAACTCGTCCCTTAAACCCTGATCGAAGCCTTAAATGGCGAAACTCTGAAAGCAACAACACGCGGTCCTATACTCTGTGGAAAAAAGCCTTCAACCCAAAACCTTAACCCCAATCTCCCAAACACGAAGCCTAAACTCCAAAGCCCGTTTTACAAGCCCAGCTTCAAAAAAAACCCAGACCCTACAAGCCCTAATACTAAAAACTACCGTCAAAGTCTGCCACCGCAGGGTCGGTCCACTGGGCGAAGAGATTCTTCCGAATGGCACGCGCCACTCAGCGCCAAAGAAGACCAGCCGTTTAGGATTTGGAGTTTTAGGATATCAGTCCTGCCTTTTAGGGTCTGGGGCTGGCGGTTTAGGGCCTTCCTTGTTGAAGCCCTGATAAGGGCATTCAGACTAAGTGTCTTGGGAATTCAGGTGTTTACTTGCTCATCTATGAGTCTAATATCATGGTACTGCCTTTCCACCAAAAGTTCGCGGGAAACTGTGATCTAGCGGCGTCTCCTTATTTTCAAAATAGTGTTCCGGCAGGCGCAAAGCATCTGCTGCCCGCCACTCCTGCTTATTTGTGGAGCCTGCGCAGTCAGAATTTGTGCTTCAACAGCCAAACCGTCAGATGAAGATTCGACCACACAAATCCTAAACTCCTAAACCCTGACACGTAAACGTAAACCCTGGCACCTTCAAGTTGACATGCTCCCTGAACCCTACACCCTAATTCTTAAAAGTCTAAGACTTAAGAGAGCAAAAGCCCTAGAAACCCGAAAAGGCATCAAACGAACATCTACTTGTACCTACAGCCCCATAAGCCCTTAAGCCCCGAAGCCCTTTTTCCCTTGAGAGAGTTCCAGGCTGCACGGTGACCGGCTTTGTGCAACTGCCAGAGACCCGGAGGAGTTTGGACCGCTCAGGGACGAGGACGTGCGGTTTAGGGTTAAGGGTAGGGACTATTGTTACAACTCAACGCGATAAGTACATAGCTCTACTGCTCTAGCTCTATTTGTTCTACTATAGTACTACTATTACTGCTACTAGTCTGGGTGTGTTATTTATTTGGGATGTCTTCAGCATGCTTAGTAATTGACATCCTCTTGCTTACTTGTCGTGGTTTTGCCATTCGTCCTCTTTTTCTGAAGTTCCCAACTCACTACGGCCGCACCTTTTCTCCGAGCCTTAAACTCTCAAGGAATCATGGAGAGAAGTCCAGGAAGCCACAAAATAGGGATTTACTAGGAGTGTTGGAGTTTGTTTTTTGTTTTGGTCTGGGGTTTAGGGCCGTCGGTGCTCAGGTGGGCCCCCACAAACTCAGCGTAACAGAGAGAAAGGCCTATCAAAACATGTTTGTGGTGAAGTTACAACCCAGCATGCTAGACGAGGACCCTAAACCCTAAACCCTAAACCCTTAAACCCTAAACCCTAAACCCTACGCCTCGCACAGCTGGGTTAGTGACTGTGGGTCGCCCCACAGAAATAACTGCCGCTGCACGGTGCAACGGCGAGACGCCCTAACTAACGCCTAAACCCCTCAATCCACACGCTGAGAACGTATCCCTCAAGCAATGAACGCTAAGCCGAAAAGCCTTAAATCCAAACAGACCCTCTTTCTGCCTAAACCCGAAACCCTAGGCCCTTTGAGCTATAAACGCTTTAATGTTACGCTTTTCACCGTAAACCCTACCTAGATGCTGAAGAACCTACCTTTTTAGGCTCCTTATTAAGTTTTCTTTGTATAAGTCCTTAAAAAGGTAGGTTCTTTGGGGTTAAGTTAAAACCCTAAACCCTAAAACCTAAACCCTAAACCATTCCTTTAAAAGAACCCATAGTCGAACCCTTATAGGTACCCTTTACAGGAACCCTAAACCCCAAATCCTAAACCCTATTCTAAACCCTAAACCCTAAATCC